TTGGGGGTTTTTTTGTTTGTTTGGTTTTTGGTTTTTGGTTTTTTGAGACAGGGTCTCACTTTGTAGTTGAGACTGACCTGGAACTCACTATGTAGCCCAGGCTGGTCTCGAACTCACAGTGATCCTCCTGACTCAGCCTCCCGAGTGCTGGGATTACAGGCGTGAGCCACCAAACCAGGCACAACCTAGTTGTTGACTAAATTGTATTGTTCCTTAGACCAATATATTAAATCTAGGCAAATTTGGCCTCAGTGTAAACAAGGACAATGCAATCTATCATCTTCCTGAATATCACTATTGTGCAACCCGGGAAGTTGTAGAAAAAGTCCAAAGTGGAAGTCGAGGTTCCTCTCTGACATACAAGGTCATTACCTAATGATACAGGACTAAAGGCTTTGTCAGCCACTCTCCCTAGAGAATTGGTAATTCCCTTCCTTTAACCATAAGTCATTTATCCACCTGTTCTCATTTTTCTCGTATTTTATTCAAGAGAAATGAAACGCATAAAACAACATGGAGTCTGTAAATCCTGGATAGACTGAAAAAGGTCTGTTCTTATGAAGCTCAAAGAACAGGTTTGGCTACAGAAGAAGAAAAGAATGAGCAACACAAGGAAAGAGCTGGCTGCTGGCAGCAGGTAGTCACCTTGGGGAGAAGAAACACAGTGACTGAAAGACGGGTGACATTGAATGAGCCCCAATCCATTAGAGAAAAGAACAGAGAAGATGTGCAAGGAGCTTTTCAAAGTACCCAGTCCAGACCATGTCTTTAGTCCGCAGGTGACACTGCCTCCTGTCCATCTGGCGTGAGGTCCCATGTTTGAATCTGAGCACCATATCTAAGAGAATGTGACAAAAGCAAAGTAACCAGGATAGGCAGTCAACTGGTAATGAACCACACCAGGAGTTCCCTGTCCCTGAGAATGTTCAGATTTAAGGAGTCGGTAAGAGCATGAAGAGTACTCAAGGATTAGGTGGAGAAAACTAAGTCTCTTCCACCCTATAAGAAGGACAAGACATGAAAACTTTTCTCAAATCTTTGAAGGGTAACCCATAGAGGACAGGGTTGTGGTCTTCAGTGGCCACAGACATGGTTACTTGAGAAAGTCACAGCTTCTCTCTTTTCATTTGAAAATACACAAGATACCCTCAGAGCCCAGAGATTATTCCTCGATATGCTGACTCCATTTCATGTTAGCTTGGTATCCAGAGTTCACAACAGGAAGCCAAGATGTTCCAGGATTTCAACAAGCAAACATGACTTCCCATAAACAAAAGACTCATGCTTAGCCTTCAGTGAAAGGAAATTTAAGAAGATCAGAGGTTTAGGCCATAAAAAAGGAATGAGGTACTGACACAGGTTACAACTGGGTGAACCTTGAAAGCATGCTGTGTGAAGACACATACTATATGATCCCGTTAATGTGAAAGTCTAGAGACAAGGAAGAGGAAGCTCTATACAGACAAAGAAGATTTTTCCGGCTAGCAAGGAAGAGAAGGAGAGGCAGCTAACAAGTACAGATTTTCTTCTTTATGAGGTATTGAAAATTTCCTAAAAGCGTAATGATAGCTACACATACTTATGAAAACACTAAAAATCATGGAATTGTATACTTTTGATGGATAATCTGTAGTGTGTGTCAATATATCAAAGTAAAGCTTTTTAATTCATTAAGTTAATTGGTACATTTCAGGTATACAATATGCTGAAATTCTTTATTGGGATCTTTGGTGGGGGGTTGAGACAGGGTCTCACTGTGTAATTGAGACTGATGTGGAACTCACTATGTAGCCCAGACTGGTGTCAAACTCACAGTGATCCTCCTGCCTCAACCTCCCAAGTGCTGGGATTACAGGTGTGCACTACCACACCTGGCTTACTTTATTGGGATCTTGTACCTTTACGTAATATATCTTGCTTCTTATTTTTTTCCCCATTCCCCTGCCCACCCTTCAACTCCTCTACCCCTCCCTGTTTACAAAGACTTTGTTTCCATTTTTTCTCATATTTATTCCTTTCCCTTCTTTCCTTTCTCCTACCCCTCCTCCTTCCCCTTCCCCTTCGGACTTTTTTTTCCTATTTCACATTATCTATTATACACTTTCAGTTTCTCACTCCAGAGAAACTATTTGGTATTTACACTTGTATGTCCTATTTATTTCACTTAAGAGTATAGCCTCAATGTACATCCATTTAGCTATAAATGTCTCTAGTTTCTCATTTTTTATGACTAAGTACTACTCCATTTTATATTTAAAAACAAACACCACACATATTTTTTTTTGGTACCAGGGATCGAACTCAGGATCTTGTTCTTGTCAGGAAGGCAGCAACATCACTGAGATAAATACCCAGCCCTAAAAACACATCTTCTTTATCCAGTCACCAGTTGATGGGCAACTGGGCTGTTTCCAGATGAGTGAAACTTATAGAACTCCAACGAGCCATGATCAAAAAAATCTACACCTAGGCATATAATAGTCAAGATTCCAGAAACCCAACAGAAGAACCAAATACTACAAGCAGTTTGAGAAAAGAAATAAATCATGCACATACAAAGGAAAGCCCATCAGAATCACAGCAGACGTCTCAATACAAACCCTCAAGTCAGAGTGAAGTATTTTAAGCCCTAAAAGAAAACAACCTGCAATCCAGATTAATAAACCCTGCAAAACTATCTTTCAGGATTGATGGAGAAATAAGATATTCTCATGACAAAGAACACCTGAGGAACTTCATGAATACCAAACCAGCACTCCAAAAAATTTTAAACAGGAAAATTTTACCCTAGGAAAAGACAATAAGGGTCACAACCCCATAAAGACCAACGAAATGAATCTATCAGGCAAGAAAAGGAATTAAATGCAAAGGAGGAGAATCCAACAACAGGAAAAGGTCATGACAAGGATAAGTCATCATATATCAGTTATGACCATCAATGATTATGGTCTCGATTCACCAATCAAAAGAAACAGACTGGCAGAATGGGTCAAGAAGCAAGGTCCAACAATATGCTGTATACAAGAAACCCACTTCATTCAAAAGCAAACTCACAGGCTGAAAGTTAAAGGGTGGAAAATGATATTCCATGTGACAGGAACCCAAAATAAAAGCAAATGTAGCTATTCTATTTGTGGATAAAATGGGCTTCAAACGAAGTAAGGCTATTTTTAAAATAAGGACACCATCCAGAAGAGTGGCCTGGATGACTCCTGAGCCTACACCATCTTGGCAAAAGGTATTTTTTCCCCACTCGGACTGCTCTGGTGAGTCCTTGCACTTTCAGACCTCTGGGAGTCCAGCATCCCAACTTCCACTTACAGCAGTGGAGTGGTGCCTCGCTGCAGAGGGCAGTGGCAGCAAGGGGACTTGACGACTCTAACCATTACACATGCCTGTGGAAGCCCTACACAGCTCACACAGAGCCCAGGTTTCATCACTGGGCTAGGATCCCCGTCTGGACTAAGCCCTCCCTCCACACGCACTACATCACGCACCCTGAACCCTGGATGAGGAAGAATGGTTTACTTGGTCTCCTCTGCTCAAAGCCTCTTCATATTTACTGTGTCCTGCAGCCCAGTCTCATTCCTAGACATGAAAGGAGGTGGGAGGTTCATCAGCTCATCTCCCTCTCCCCCATCACCCACCAATCCCAGCCACTCTGGCCTCTTCGCAGCTCCTCAAACACTTTGTGCATGGACCTCTTTCTGCAGCAACTTCCCCACACAAGGCCCCTTCCATCTCCTCCTTCAGGTCTTGACTCAAATGTCTCTCTCCATGAAACCGACCCTGGAAATCTCATGTAAAATCTTAATCTCATCCCCCCACCCCTCTCTATTGCTTTTCATAGCACATTAACATCCTGACCACGTTTCTTGTGCTGCTGCCTTCCCTGCTCAGAAAGCTCCATAGGGGCGTGGCCGTTGTCTGCTTTGGTTATTGAATGTATGCAGGACACCTAGCCCAGTGCCTGAAAACAACGAATATGCAATAAATACTGGTCCAACTCCCTTAAAGAACTGTTGCTTTGGCTTTCAAATAGAATGTGTGTACCATGAGCCTGTTATTACCCAGGCTCTTTATGCATCCTACAGCTTCTTCTAACCTCTAGAGCTCAGGTAGGGACCCTCAAGGCTGAAATGAACCACTTTCCCACTCTCTAAATCTGATAGAACTGTCATTGTTGGTCTTTTCCAACTCAGCGTCCAAAGCACCGTGATCAGGCCAAGTCTCTGCACATCTAGAGAAAGCTGGCTCTTCATCCGAGCACCTGCTCCCAACCTCCAAGAACAGGGTCTTTTCCCAACTGACTACATGTTCTTCTGCAAGAGGCATCAGCACGCTATTATACATGTTATTCTACTATCGCACTACAAGGTGGGCTGGGAAAATGCAAGGAAGTCCACTTGAAGCAAACATGGTAGCTATCTCTTCTCATCAAGTAATTCCCTGTTTAGTTATTGTCTTCCTTCACAAGACTATAAACTGTTGGCAAACACAGACTGGGTTGTCTTGGCCACCACTGAGAACATTTTCAGTATCCACTGGAATGCATAATAAGGGCTCATTTGTTGCTCCCCCCACCCCGAATGGGGACTAGATCTCAAGACCTTGTGCTTGCCAGGCAGGCGCAGCGCCACTGACCTAAACCCGCGGCCCCTCATTTGTTATCATTGATCATTGTCATTCTTTCGTGATTTGTCCTGGATCTCAAGGAGTAACTTGTGAATTATATACACCCATGAATCAGCTGGAACCCAAGAACAGCTAGAAAGTCTGTCTCCTTCTGGAGAGATTTACCCACTGACCCCCAAAGTTCTGCAAGAGATAAACGAAAAGTAAAGTCACAGCGTTTCTAGATTCCTAGCAAAATTCCGGATGAAAATCCCAAACTCGATGGGGTGGAGGAAGGAAACTTGGGAAGTCTGCCCAGGGGTTGATTTCCCAGCACCAAGGATTATCCGAGCGCCCCCTATTGGTCAGACAAGACCCTACTTCACCTCGCAAGAAAAGCATTCCGCGGGCGCAGACGAGTCTGCTCTTCTTTCAACTCGTTCCCTCCGCTGAAAAAGTTGAAGGAACAGGGGAAACGACCCTCAGAAGCTGTAAAAGCCAGGCGTGGATGGAGAAAAGAAGAATCGGAAGCCGCTGACGGTGGAGCGTCAGGCAGGGGCTGAACAGAAACGCGCAACACACTGGGAAGGGGAGCGAGAAAAGTTGGGCTCCAAAGTTTGCAACCGAAAACAGCGAGAAGACCAGAAAGTGCACCCGATCCCCGATCCTCAGACTGGAGATGCCCACAGAAAGGGGGGCGAGTGAGCTCAGAGGGGTCCTACGAGTAGGTGTGAGAAAGCGGTGCCCGGGTCAGGGGCCGCGTGGGCGGAGGGCTGGGGCGCCCGCACCCCGCTACCCACCTGAGGCTGCCATGCCGCT